GGGATTGCATTAAATGTGTAAATTGCTTTTGGTAGTATTGCCATTTTCACAACATTGAGTCTTCCTATCCATGAGCAAGGGATATTCTTGATGTTGAGGTGTAATCCATTTTGAGGCTTTGATTTTCTGTAACAAACTTTTAAAATCCCCCTTACTTTCAGTAAGCAAGGTTGTGCCATCTACATAATTCAGGCTGTTGGTAAGTCCTTCTCCAAGCCTGATGCTTCACCCTTCATCATCAAGTTTAGTTCCTCAAATAATTTGTTCAGCATACAGGCTGAATAGTTATGGGGGGAGGAGATAGTACTGACACACACCTTTCCTATTTTAAGCCATGAAGTGTTTTCTTCCTCTGTTTGAACGATAAACTCTTGGTCTAAGCACTGGCTTTGCATGAGCACAATTAAGTATTCTGGGATTCTCATTCTTCTCAATGTTAGCTACAATTTGTTGCGATCCACATAGTCAAATGCTTTTGGATAGTCAATAAAACAAACAAACAAAACCAAAAAACACCACACAACATCCTTCTGGTGTTCCCTACTTTCAGCCAAGATCCATCTGACATCAACAATGATATCCCTGGTGTCATGACCTCTTCTAAATCCAGCTTGAATTTCTGGTGGTTCTCTATCGATGTACTACTGTTTTAGTTATGCTTAAATGTTATATTAATGATATTATTTAATAGTTTCCATGTCCCATTAGGTCACATTTTTGGGGAGTGGGAGCAAATATGGATGGATCTCTTCCAATAAGCTGGCCAGGTAACTGTCCTCTAGATTTCTTGGCACAGCCTGGTGAGCACGTCCAGGGTTGCACCTGTTTGTTGGAGCATGCTGGTTTGTATTCCAAGTTCTAGGGCCTTATGTTTTGCCAATGCCTTCAGTGCAGCTCAAACATCTTCCTTTATTAGTATTGGTTCTTTGTCATATGCCACTTCCTGAAATGGTTCCATGTCAGCCAATTCTTTTTAGTACAATGAGTCTGTAGTCCTTTCATCTTCTTTTCATGCTTCCTGGATCATTCAAGATTTTGTCCATAGAATCCTTCAGTAGTGCAATTCAAGGCTGGAAAAACACAGATGGATTTATGATTCCTGGGTTTAGATCTTAGCTCTGCTTCCTACTCACTATGAAATAGACAAATTGACATTCTCTTAGCTTCAAATTCCTTATCTGTGTAAAGTAGATAAGTATCCACCTTACAGAATCGTGCTGGATTGCCTGGTATGCAGCAGATGCTTGGTGAAGAATAACATTAATCATACAGGATAATGATAGAAATTATTGATGGTCATGGTGATGACATTGGTGGTGCAGGACAGTAATTATGGTGGCTGTGGTGGCATAGAGGTGATGGCAGGAATGGTGGTGGAAGTGATGGTAATGGGGATGTAACAGTGTTGGCGGCATAAGTGATGGGAGTGGTGGTGGTCGTGGTGATGGGGTGACAGTAGTGATGTTAATGGTAAAGGTTTGTGGTGGTGGGAGCAGTGATGGTGGTGATGGTGATGATGATGGTGGTGACATGAGCATGGAGGCGACGGCAGTGGTGATGATGATGATGATGATAAAGGTGGTGGTGCCTGTGGAAGTGATGAGTGTGGTAGTGGCAGCGGTGGTGATTGTGATGATGGCAGAGGTGGTTACTACTGGGGAATGGGCCAGAACCTCCCCTCTCCCATCAGGTAACAGTAAGACCCCGGATCGGGGAGAATGGAGTCCAGCCTGATAACTGCTCGGTGTAAGAGTCTCACTGTTCTTCAGAAAGGCCATCTATGTGCCATATTGTGAGTCTGATTCAAAAGGAAATCTGGTTCCAGAAGCAAGTGCCAAGGGCATGCTCCCAGGGAAGCACTCTGAGAGAACAGGGAGGAGACAAGTCAAGGACTGTTGGAAATAAAAAAGTGTGTAGAAGAAAGCTCTCCTAGAAATGGGGGTTTTGTATACCCCATCCTAATGCATTCCCCATCCTGCACTCCTCCTCAATCCTAACGCTGCTCTAATTTTCCCCATAGAGTTTATTTCTTCTGTTGCTGTTAGCTGTCATCTAACAAGTCCCCAGCTCATGACTGCCCCATGTACGATGGAACAAAATGCTCATGAGTCCTCCAGCATCCCCAGCAGGACCAGTTGTGCTTTGGGCTACTATAATTCACAGGGTTTTCAATGGTTGGGTTTGGATGTAGATTACCAGCCTTTCTTTCTAGTCTGTCTTCTTTTTGCCATTCTGCTAAAATCAGTTCACCATCTTAGCAACACACAAGCCCCCAATGACAGAGAGGTGGTGCTTGATTGGGAATCAAACCCAGCTCTCTTGCATGAAAGTTGAGAATTCTATCACTGAATCACAATTGTCCTTACAATAATTTGCTATTTGTAATAATTTCATTCTTTTATAATCTTAGAGCATACATTCAGTTGATGTACTCTCTCTGTTTAGTGTTTATTTTTACCTGTCTCCCCTGCCCTTCCCTCCTGTAGAAGACAAGTTTCATCCGCACAGGAATCTTTGATTGGCTGGCTCACTGTTATATTCCAAAAGTCTACAATAGTGTCTGGTACCTAACAGGTGCCCAATAAACATTCAAAAACTGAACACATGCTGCAAGGGAGGGAATGGCTACCTTGTTCCCTTTGGGACACACTCTACTTCCTGGCTTGTTACTTGATTTCTCTGCAGAGAGGGATAGGGTGTGGCCCTGAGGGTTCAGCATTTAAACTTTCAGACTGAGCCTGGGCTGGGACTGTGGAGGGGACAGGAAGTGCTCAGCTGTGGGGTAGGTCTCTGACAGTGGCCATGGCCTTGAGGGAGCCAGAGACCTGGGTCCCTGCATCCCTGCTGAACCAGAGGCTGATGGTTGAGGAGAAGACACTGGACCTGGATTTCGAGGTCTTGAGCATGAAGTTCAATGAGACTAGCCCACACACCCTTCAGGTGACCTCTGAGAACCCCCTGCAGGCCTGCTCCTGGGAAGAGGTGCCATTATTAGAGAATGATGGGGACCCATTGCCTGCCTACTTTATTGGCACTGATGTCACTGAGCAGCGGGCTCTTGGCCAGAACCTCACTCTCACCAGGAACAAATATGTCTTCACTTTGGCAAAGGTATACAGTAAGGTTGTGAATGAGAGCAGCCAGCAATGAAGAGCTATACTGTCCCCGGGAGCCTGCATGGAATTGGAGGGGCTGGGGCAATGCTCTAGATTGAACCCCTAAACTCTGCCTGGGGGACCTTGTACTAATGCTGACCTTCTGAGAGGTCCTGCCTCCTTCAGTGTGACAAGGGGACACCACTGGTGCTGGCCATATAATGTCTAATGAAAGGGAAGTAAATGAATAGATGTGAAATGCTTTAGTGAGCAGAGTAGCTACTATGCAGTGAATGTCACCAAGTGGCATTAGAATCATCTCAGCTCTGAGTGGTGGTCTGTGGGTGTGGAGGGTGGGTGGAGAGGACCCCTGGGCTTTCCCTCTAGGAGCTTCCAGGGCAAGTGAAGAGGCTGGAATGCTGAGCAAGGAATAATTAAATGAGCCGGAGGGATCAGCAGATCCATCCCTAGACTCTGAGGAAACCCAGGCAAGCTTCCTGGAGGAGGAAAAGGAAAGGGTATGTGGCAAAACCAAGTTCCAGGCCTTTGGGTAGCCAGAACTCAGAGGCAAATGGACTTCTTCCCTCAGCCTGGTGTGAGGACCCAAGGCAAGCCCTTTGAGGACCCAAGACAAGCCCTTTCTTCTCCACCTGTGGACTCAGAGGGGAATTTAGGAAATTGTGGGTGACTTTGGTGGGGAGGAAGTTTGGGGACGAGGCTGAGAGGAGGTCACAGCATCTGCCAGGGAAATCTTAGCCAAGCTTGTTTGACTTCTACTCAAAGGCCGGACAACCCAGAGTTCCTGAAAAATGAGGCCCTGGAGCCTCTCTCTGAACTCTTTGTGTCCCCTCCAGGGGTCTGCAAGAATGACGGTCATCACGAGCCATGGCTTCGGGTGGAGGCACTGAGGCTGGATGGAGTCTCAGGACGGACAGCCCAGGGGGGTGGGCAAGGACATGTTCCAAATATATCCACGTCCAGACAAGCCCTGCATGAACCTCACCGCTCAGGAACAAGAGGACCTGTGCCGCTACTGTGACACCCTGACTCTGCGTGGGGTCAGCTCCATGGTTTTTTGTAGGGTTTTTTGCTTGTTTTGCAATGATGACTGAAGTTACTATGAACATTTGTGTGCAGTTTTTGTATGGACACATATTTTTAGCTCACTTAGGTAAATACTTACGTGCACAGTTGTTGGATTGTGTGAGAAACCTGTGTTTAGTTTTGTAAGAGATTGCAAGATGGTCTTCCATATTAGCTGTACCATTTTGCATTCCTACAAGCAATGAATGTGAGTCTATTGCCCCACATTCTCTCCCATATTTGGTACTATAAGGGTGTTATACTTTAGCCCTTCTACCAGGGAGCTCTGCTGGCACAGTACATTACATGTTGCTAACCAGCAGTCAAGAAATCAAAAGACTAATTCCACTGGGAAAGTTTGCTGTCAGGGACTGCTCTAGGGTATTTAAGAGCAACGATGTCAGTCTGGAGACTAAGGTGCACCTGATACTGGCCGTGGTTGTCACAATTACTTACTATGCAGCAGAGAACTGGACAATGACTAAGGATGCTAGAAGAAGAATCAATGCCTTTGAGTTGTGGTGCTGGAGAAGAATGTTGAACATATTATGGACTGCCAAAAGAACAAACAGGTCTGTCCTAGAGAGGGTGAAACCAAGCTGCTCCCTGGGGTAAGGATTTTGGTGCTCTGTATCACATACTTTGGGTACGTGGCCAGGAGGGACCATTCCTCAGAGAAGGACGTCATGCTTGGAAGGGTGGGCGGACAGCGCAGGAGAGAAAGACCAAGAATGAGGTGGATTGACTCAGTGACTAGAGAAATGGGATTAGGTCTGTTGGAGATGATGAAACTGGTTTAGGATAGGGCAGGGTTCAGAGGTGTTGTACATAGGGTCGCTATGAGTCACAGGCAACTCAACAGCACATAACAAAACAACAACAACCAGCAGGTCAGGGGTTCGAATCTACCTGATACTCTGTGGGAGAAACACGGACAATCTCCTCCCATAAAGATGTAGTTCCTCAGAAACCCAATGAATGGTCACTGTGGGTTGGAGTCCACTCAACAGCACTACTGAGTTTGTTTGGGCAACGACAGAGAGCCCTGGTGGTACAGTGAGGTAAGCACTGGACAGTTAACTGAAAGGTTGTCAGCTCAAAATCCGTCTGTCTGGATAAAGTGAAGCGGTCTGTCTTTGTAAAGATGTATGGTGTTGTCATAGCTATGGAGCAGTTTTATCCTGGCCCCTGGGTCACAATGGGTCAGAATCACCTCCACAGTGGTGGGTGATGGCTCATGATGTCGAGGATATTTTTATACATTGATTTTTTATCTATACATCTTCTTTGGCTAAGTATCTGTTTAGATTTTGGGGGGGGTTTTGGTCCATTTTCAATTTAGGCTGTTTTTTCCTTATTGAGTTTGAAGAAATTTTTCATGTATCTGCTAAGCCCTTCGTCAGCTAGATAGGTGTTTTGCTACTACTTCCTCCTAGTTAGTGACTTGCCTTCTCATTTTCTTGGTGTCTTTTGCAGTTTTTCATTTTAATCAAGTCTAAGTTATCAATGATTTCGTCTATGGACTAAAGATCAGGCTCTCGGTGTTGTAGGAAAAAATTCAACCAGACACACCACTTAGGTGTCTCCTGCGTTCTCTTCCAGAAGCCATGCCATTTTGTGCTTAACATTGATGTTTGTAATATGTTTTGAGTTTGGGGTTTTCTTTTGCGGAAATTCAGTGTCTAGATTTTTCATTGTTACTGTTTTTGCTGGCATGTGGCTGTCCAGTTGTCAGTTGCTACAGCACCATTTGTTGAAAAGATTATCCTTTCTTTATTGATTTGCTTTTGCCAAAGATGGGTTGGCTGTATTTACATGGGCCTATTTCTGGCATCTCTCTGCTGTTCCGTTGATCTATTTGAATTTTTATTTTTCACCAGCTGGGGTTTGATTTTGTTTTGCACCGTGGATGAATATCCCTTGGGAGCCTTCAGTCTCCAACCTCAAGTTCGTGTGTCTTTGCCAGGTTCCACTGGAAGCCCCCAGTAACCCTGCGACTGAAGCCTTGTGTACTCACAAGAAAAAAACCTCAGCCCCAAGGCAGGACCATGGCAGCCTCAGTTTCTGGTAAGGTGGGTCTAGTCCTTGACCATGCTATAGGAGGGTCCCCCAGTGCCTCCAACTTCTGCAGCCCAGGAAGTGTATCTGGGAGATGTCCAGCCAGCACAGGTGAAACCCTCAGAGGAAGTCGCCATAGATTTCACATGTGTAGAAAACAAGCCCCATGGGCATTTGATGCCACTTCATGTCCACTTTTTCTGGGAGCCTTAGTGAAAAAAGAGTATTTGGAACTCAAAGGGTGTTTAGTTCCCGTGTTCAAGCTGCTTCCTGACTTGAAGACAACCACTTACAAGCCAAGCATCTCACATGGTCTTGTAAGACAAGTCCTAGAAGGAGCCTTTGGTGAGAGAGTAAGCATGTGGAACATTAGAGCCTAAGGAAGGCTCTTCAAAGGAGGTGAAACTCCCATTCATCCATCTGCCCACTTACTCATCTACTCACTCAACCACTCTTATCATTTCATTCATTCATCTCTCCATCAATCCAACTTTTGCCAAGTGTTGACTGTCAGATACCATGCTGAGTGGTGGGGTGAGATTTAGGGTTTCAGCGGCTATTTTAAGGAGAGGGCCCAGAGTAATTTGGCTGAGGGGAAGGGAAGTGAGAAGATGAGCTGAGGTTGGAATCAAATGTTGGCAGCAAGGCCTTGCTCTTCTTTGGTGTCGCCTCACCCCAGCAACCAGGGCTCTTTGGGGGCTTGTTGTTGTTGTTGTTGTGTACCACAGAGTCAAAACTGACCCACAGCTGACCCTCCAGCGGGTTTGCAGAGGCAGTTAATGGCACAGGAGCTTGCCCATCCTTCTCCTGTGGAGCAGCTGGTGGCCTTGAACTGCATGCCTTTGGGATTGCAGCGCAGCTTCTTGCCATTAGGCCACCAGACCTGAGGGCATAGTGGTAAGGAATTGCACTGGCAACACAAAGGTGCAATTTTCTGCAGGAGAAAGAGGGGCAACCTTCCCCTGTGTGATTTACTGCCTCTGAAACCCCTCTGCAGGGTCAGTTTTAAGTTGGTTCTGACTTGATAGCACTCAGGAATAACAACAACATCCCCACTAACCAGCTCTGATCTAGTCCTGAGTGAAGCCCTGGGTGGGCAGGCTGAGCCAGGCTGGGAGAAGATCCATGGACATGAGAAAATGGAAGGAATCAAGGACACAGTGGCAGATAAGAGGTGGTAGTGAGGATATTCTATTCAGAATGCAACAGGAAGCCACCAAAGGGGTTTATGAGAAAGGAAGACACCATCTGGGCTGTGTTTTATGCAGACTGACCTAGCAATGTGGCAAGAGAATTGAGTGGAAGGGCCAGGGACTCAGAGTGAAGATCAAGCAGTTACATGGACAACTTCAACTTCTATTCATTCATTTCTCACTCAATCAACAAATACTCCTTGGCCACCTACTCTGTCCTCAGCCCTTTGAATCAATTGGATGGGCCTCTTAGCTTTGGGTTTTTGGCTTAATGGGTACAGAACATGTAGCAGCTCTGTGAAGCTCTGTTCCCTCCAATTGCAAAACCCAGGCCTGGCCCCTTCTTTTGCCCCTAGGTCCCTCCTTTGTCCTACAGTTTATCACAGGACTGGGCATGTAGGAGGCACAGAGCTTGGAGAGGAGTGGTCCTAGCTTGCCAGGTCCCCACACATCCTGGCTTCCCTGAAGGTGGACAGGACTGTACAGGCTGCAGCTCTCAGCGACTGTGAGGGAGGAAAGAAGGCTGCAGGGAGAGTGGGCTGGCTAGGTCTGCAATAGCAGCTCTAATTTCTGTTATTTAAAGCCATCATCTCCCTGCCATGCACCCTCTTAAAGTGTCAGATGTCTGCTTCTATCAAGACAAGAAAATGGCTTTCAAGGGAGAGGAAAATCACTTCCCTCTTGGGGGGCCAGCAATCACAACCCTGACAACAGGACCAGGAAGTGGGCCCCCCACCCCTTATGCCTTTTATAGGGAACAGACAGTGGAGAGGGGCCTTTTAAGAATAGAGGGTCTGTATCTTTCAGCTCCAAAACTACCCAGTGGTTTGGCCTGGAAAATGTGGGTACCTTTTCTGGTGCTGTGATTTGGAAGCTCAAAGACACAGCAGGTGGAATAGGCTCTCAGTGAGGGGTGGGGCTTGAAGGCTGCCCTTTGGGCCAAGGGCCAGTTCTCTTGTGAAGTGGGTATGGCCCACAACCCCAGGGACCCTTGAAATCACCCTCCCCTTTTCTGTGGATAGGCAAAAGGAAGCCTAGAAGGGGAGCAAAAGGTTTACCCAAGTGTTCACTGGTTCTCAAAGGTAGAGGATGGGAGTCAGGGGTTTAGTGGGAAGAAAAGTCAGCAAGTAGAAAAGATGAGGAGATAGTTAAAATGACATTCTTGGGGTGCAGCCCAACTTAAGCAACATTCAGCTCCAAGAATAGATGATTGCTGGCCTCCAGGTGCAAATGTCTAGATGGAAAGCTGCCTCCTCCAGGAAACCTTCCTTACCATGTATCTCATCCCCTCCATGCCAACCTTAGTCCTCCATCAAGCATTTCAACACTCGTTATCTATTCCATTTAGGTCTTTATTGTAGGAACAGAAGTTGTTCTCTAGTTTGTGTAATATGTGTCATTTCTTCAGTCTGAACTGGATGGTCATGGGTATGCATCCAGGAGGAAGGAAAAGGGAGAATAGGAATGCAGTGATCAAGAATGTCTATGGAACTGCGGAGGGGAAATAATTTAGAAAATGACTATATAGCTTGGGAGGAACTGGAGAACATTATGCTGAGTGAACTAACTCAGTCTCGTAAGGACAAATACTGTATAAGACCATTACTGTAGAAATAGAAAGATAACTAGTAAAATATGTTTGAGGATCTGAGGATAGGGGGGAGTAGTAGCAGAGGATGAGGATGGTCAGGGTGGGGAAATCAGGATTGCACAATCTGATGTGT